CAAGATCTACAGTCTTTTGAAAAATCTTTGTAAGTGACTGAGGTTCACATTATCTTTAGATGTGAGAGGGTGTCAGACTTTGGTCTTTTAAAAGTCTTTTCAAAGTCTTGTAGTGTATTGCAGACATTACTCGCTCTAGTAACTCCAGTCTCTCAAAGTCAGCAAAAAAGAGAAGCAGTGTTGAATAAAAAACAAAACAGAAAACAACAGCAGATCAGTAAAGTACTGTATAGTTTGAGTTATACTTGAAATAACTAGTTGATTAATCAATTGATCAGTCAATAGAAAACTAATTGGCATCAATTTTCATAGTTAACTAAACAATCATTGTTTTTAAAAGCTAAAATACCCCAAAATGTCTGGTTGCAGCTTATCAAATGTGAATCTTTTTATCTTGTCTTTCCTGCAAACTTAGAAGCTTTGGGTTTAACTGTTAGTTGGACAAAATGTGCCACTAGAATATAAAAACTTGGGCTTTGGGAATGTCATGGACCAAGCAGTCAAAGCATAAAAACACAGGTTTAAATTTCAAAAAAGGTGGGTTTATTTTCCCAAAAAGTAAATTTTACAAGTCAAATGACTTAAGATAACTGACTTAGAGTTATAGGGCCCTTAAAAGAGGTCAGCAAAACATAACTCTACTGAAAAATAGGGCTAGTAATATTAGACATTAACTCAACAAACAGAATGAGACAATGGGGCAACATATATGATGGGTGATCTGACCAAATTAAACACAAAGGGGACAGCTTACATAGACAGTAACTAAAACTAACACTAACACAAAGATGGTTTGTTTTAGGAGTGATAAACTTTTCTATCATCGAAATAAGGAACATTTTAAACACTTACGTATTAGACTGTATGATTGCTGAACAAACACACAGGTCACAACAGGCTATAAAACTGAAAACCATCTCTTATTCTATGAAATTTAGAACACTAAATAAATAGTATAGTGTAGATGACCTGACATGACTTCAGCCAGATGGCCTGATATGACTGACCAAATTTTGTTATGTAAGGAGAAGCAATTGCTCCCAGAACTCGTTATTGGAATAACAGGAAACAGTAGCTTAAGTGACAGGAAACACCTTGTAATGTGTATTGGAAAGCTTGTAGGTGTCAATGGATACTGCTTGTTTGTCATGACGAACAAAGTCTTTTTCTTTATGTGAGTAAACCCTCAAATGTCCAAACCCTATGTTTTGAGTTCTTTGTTCCACAACAATAGAATAATAAAAAATAAAACATATGCATTAGGAAGAGTTTTCAATTAGTTCCACTATGGCTATATTTAAACATTCAAAGCAACCAAACAATTGTCATTCTGGTGATCAGCACATCTGGGTGATATCATTAAATGTGTGTTAGCATGTTGGATACTGTATGTTTCCATTCAAATACCAAACAGTAGTGGATCAACAGTGACACAACGTCCTTGTCGTATACAAAGCTGTCTCTCCGTTACTGACTGGGAATCCTCGGACAGGTCTTCCAGCTTTGTTGTTTTATTTGTGCTCTCCATAGTGTTCACGAGTGAGGGTAAAATGGAGCGTGAGAGGGATAGGCAGTTTGGCAACGATGCAGGCGCTGCGCTAGAGTGTTGTGGTGAAGAGGCAGTTTGAGCCAGAAGGCAAAGTTTTACTGGTCCATCTACATCCAAACCCTCACCTATGGTCATGAGCTTTGGGCAGTGACCAAAAGAATGAGATTACAGATACAAGCAGCCGAAACAAGCTTTCTCTGTTGGGTGGCTGGACTCAGCCTTAGAGCTCAAACATCCAGACGGAGCTCGGAGTAGAGCCGCTGCATCTTTGCTCAAAAGGGGCAGTTGAGGTGGTTCAGGCATCTGCCAAGGATGCCTCCTGGGCGCCTTCTGCCAGAGGCCCCGGGGCAGAACCAGAGCACACTGGATGGATTATATATCTCATCTGGCCTGCCCCCGTGACCTGGCATTGGATAAGTGGATGAAAATGGATGGATGGATAGTGTGACTGACTTGCATGCCAATCGGCTTGTGCTAACCTCAGAACCTGTTGCTAACAGTGTACAGCTAAAAGTTTCCTGATGAACTTGCACTCATGAACTTTGGTTCCACATTAAGTGCACCAGTCTACATACTGTTCAACGCTCTTTTCACTGGCATCCCAAAGAACACCACTGAGAGACTCATTCAAAACTCTGCAGCTCGGCTATTAACCAGAACCAAGAGGAGAAAGCACATCAGGCCAGTCTGAGCTGCTCTGCACTGGCATCCTGTTACAATTAGAATTGATTTTAAGCTCCTCCTCCTTGTTCACAAAGCCCGACAAGCTACATCACTAACTCTCTTGTGAACTATTTGCCTCCGAGAACACTGCGATCATCTGCTGCTGGTTTATTGGAGGCTCCCAGCAACAGGTGTAAGAAGATCGGGGATGCAGCCTTTGTCAGTTAAGCCACAAAGCTATGGAACACACAACCTATAAATATCAGGGAAGCTAGCTCGCTAAATATTTTTAAAAGAAAGCTAAAAATATATCTGTTCACTTTAGCCTTTAACTTGCTCTGACTTTCCTGATGCAGGTCTGAAACTCTTTTTACGCTTCATGCTGCTGCAACTCTTTTAAAATCATACTTGATTTTATGACTTATAGTTTTACAACCCTATGATTTTATGAATCAGTTAATCCATTTTTTTTTCTTATTATTTTTTTTAAAGATATTTTTTCGGGCAATTTTAAGCCTTTAATCGATAGGACAGATGAGCGTGAAGGGTGGAGAGAGAGAGGGAGTGACATGCAGCAAAAGGCCACAGGCTGGAGTTGAACCCAGGCCGCTGCGGCAACAGCCTTTTACATGGGGCGCCTGCTCTACCACTAAGCCACCAACGCCCCGTTAATCCATGTTTTAAACTGTTATAAATGTCTGTTTTATTTTCATTATGTCTATTTATGTGTGAAGCACTCAGTGCTTATACTGCCCTTATTGTAAATCACTTTGTGCTGCATTTCTTTAATGAAAGGTGCTATATTAAAACCACTGAATATTATGATTTCTGGATATTTTGCGTGTGGCTGTGTGTGGCTGCATGCACCAGACAGCAACGGTTTCAGCCTTCATTGATAAAGAAAAAAGCCTTTAGTTGCAGCCCTAATTGAAGTAAGCCACGCTAGTGAGTCAGCGTGTACCATATGTGTGTGTTAGACAAATGTTTCAATAGGTACAAGTGAAAAGGAGAGTCATCTATTTTATTTTGTTATCATTCTGAAGTGGGAATGGTCTGAAGCAGGGAGGTCACACACTGGAGTGGATAATGTGGGCATTCAAGAATCAAATTTGCCTTCTTGAGGAAATGATTAAATGTATTGAAGCTGAGCTTGTTGCAAAGCAGTACTTGAAATATTTCACATATTAAAGGAATTCTTTGATCTTTATGAAAGAATTACTACTGCTGAGCCATTTTGAAAAGGCTATCAATGTTGGGCACAATATTGGAGCCCTTAATTGCTAGAGTGGCTGACATTTGGTGGGACTGTCTACTGTCAGAAATCATATCCTCTCATTTCTAAGAGTTGAACTCTCTACACCTTACGTTTAACTCAGGATCTTTCTTTCACTGCTCACTGTCACTTCTGACGCTTGCGTTGCTTTTATACTTCTATAGCGTTGTCAGTGTTTCTTTAATGTTTCCTTTGTAAAGTAATGTTTGTAAGATGACTGTCACTGTTAATAACACAAATCGTAGTATCCTCAGTGTTCCCAGTGACCTGACTGTCTTTCTCTGCCTCCCCTCCCTTTTCTTCTTTGCTGCATTTACATCTCTCTCTGCTCCCTGTTTACCCTCAACTCCTGGCAGATTCATCTCCCTTCCATATATTTACACCCTCTTTTACTCCACTTCATTACTCGCCATAACTTCTTCTCTGCCTGTGTCCCCCTCCTCTCCTCTCTCAGGGACAGGCAAAGAGATATAGCTCCGTGACGGCTAGTAGATTTTAAGTGCTGCACGACAGGTGCGGCGGTAAAGTATTGTATCGTAGCAGCTGTAGGAGCGCGCTATCGTGTCTGGTGTATATGTGAGTGTGTGTGTGGGTGTGTGCTGATGCATTCATGTACATTTGGGAATATGTGCAGTCTTGTTGGTGTGCTTGGCTTGACATTTTATAGCTTTGGTGATTGTAGATTTTATCCTATAGACATGTAATGTTTCTCCCTGGGGGGGTCTTCGTATTATCCACAGCTCAGCATATTACGCTATTATAAGTCAACATTATAGCCCGGCCACACTCGCATGCAGATAGGGCAGATAGGGATACACACTTGCACACTCATACAGTATTTGTGTGTGTGTGTGTGTGTGTGTGTGTGTGTGTGTATGTATGTATGTAGAGCAGCACTATACATATGCACAATAGAAATAAGTCGTTATTGTTGTTCTATGTTATGATTTCATTTACCAACATGATCATTTCTTTTCTTTCCACACATCGACAGAATTGAATGTGTGGGCCTGCATGCTCTGTGTGTGATTTAAAGTATACCACAGTGTGTTTTCTCTCCTACTCCTCCTGTTCAACTCTCTTGCTTTGCTGGCGTGCTCAGAGCTGCTTGTTACATAAATAAATAGCTTAGGTAAAGCTTTTCTTTATACCTTACAACAGCTGAGCGGGACAGACCACCAAGAAATATATTTTTAATATCCACTCCCTCTCCATTTTTTAGCTGTTGCTCTAAGCGGTAGATGTTATTAATTAAAGCTGGCAGTGCTGGTGGAAAGTCAAAAATGTTCCATAAGTTCAAGTGTGCTTGTTTGCCTGCTTCTCTCTTTGTTTCATGCCATCTGTCTGTTGTACATCCTTAAATTCAGTGTGTAATGTTGTTACACCATACTGGCACACGTTCCCAAGTACTGTATCCTGTTGCTAGGAATGATGTATTTTATACTAAGCTGTCTATGATGTCATATTTGTTGGTAATGGTTTTGACTTTAATGCCCTTCTTGGTTTTGTTTCCAGAATAAGGTGAATCCCGTCAATGTGACTCCACCCATTCAAGCTGTGGACCAAGACAGAAACATACAACCTCCGTCTGACAGGCCGGGTATTCTGTACTCCATCCTCATCGGTAGGTTTACATTTTGTTAAGTTTGATTGGTTGGCACCAGGGTTGGAAATTATTGTCTTTGGTCACCTTCCAGTGTGGGTGATGGATTCCAAAATCTACCAGCCACTCAAGAGATTACTATTGTTTTTGGCTGGTGAGTAAAGCAAATCTAGCAGCCCCTTACATATTTTACCAGCATTTGGCTGGTGACTGGTGCTAAATTCCAGCCCTGGCTGGTACTAGTATTGGGTAATAAGCCAATATATACAGTGAGACAGTGTAAATGTATGTGCCATCCACAGATTAAGACCTTGGCCTGGATCCGAGTACACTTGACCCTGAAGTCCAAAGTTTGTTTGATTAAGCCCCGTTTCCACCGAGCAGTACAGTACGGTTCAGTTCAGTTCAGTGCACTTTTTTCACGTTTCCACTGTGAAAAGTTGTGGATGGTACCAATGGAACCGTTCCTTACCATCCCCATTTTTGGTCACTTTTCTGTTGGGGTACCTAGCACACAGATCTGGTACTAAAAGGTGGAGCTGTGAACACGTTGATTGGTCAATTGCAGACGGTCACTCTGCTCAGACGTTAAACAGACCTAGGGTCTAGGTACGATGTCTGAAGGGTTACTTTTGGTTCTAAAGGTACTATACTGAAAGTGTTTGGTGGAAAGTGAGCACAGTGTACTGTATCTGGACACATTTTGCTGATCTGTTCTGGACTCCACTTGAAAAGGTGGTGTCAAGTACAGTTCATGTGTACTCCGGTACAGTACGCATAAAGTGTGAACACCAACTCTTGTGAAACAGTCTGAATCTAATACTGATGCCTGTAAAGGAGCAGAGCGTTTCCTTACTGCTCTGCCGGTCCCCACTGATGACAGTCCCAGGGGCATTGTCTCTGTCCCTTTTTCTACACTCTAGCACAACACAAAAGTAAAGTAAGCCAAATGTACTTGGGCACGGAACAACATTACAGTTGTAAAAGTTGAGTGGCAGGGGAGTGGAGAAGGGGGCAATCTTACTTAGGCACAGTACCATTAGATTGTACCTAATATGTAGAAGCCTTTAGGCCATTTTAAACTGCAGTGTTGCAAATCAGTGAGCAGGATAGCTCAATGATAATATTGGTTATTTGTATTATATGTGCAAAAATATGATGACATATCCTAATTTGTTACGTTTTCGATTTGTTGTACCGATCAAAAACATATTCCAGTTAATTGGTTGATTTCACCAGAGCATGTGCTATACTACAATATAAAATAACATTTACCATAAAGCAGTGGTTCCCAACCGGTGGGTCGTGGTCCAAAAGTGGGTCACAGACCCATTCTAAAAGGACCGCAAGTGATTCGCAAACGTGACAAGTTTGTTAAAAGACTCACTTTATTTTCAAGTACAGTAAATTTCCAACAGACACAGTGGCCCTTTTTAGATAGGAATTGTGCAAATTTGCAGGAAAGCCCAGTCAGTCTTTTTTTTCAGCATTGGCAGTATAAAAACAAAATCGGGGAGTGTGGGAAAATGCCGCCTACCTACTTTTGTTTATACAGAATGCGCCTTTTTCGGGGCAATGGGGGGCGTGAGCAAGTAACAAAACATGTAGCTCACTGTGTGACATAAACAGTGACGTGGGAGGGAAGCCGCGGTGAGTCAGGCGGCGATAGTCAGATGGCGATTCTCTCGTAAATCAGCCCCTTCTTCACTGTCCCTGTCATCTGACAGTTAATGGCCTCTTCATTTGCGAGGGCAAGGAGGGTGCGCTATTCCTTGTCTCCCCCGCATGTGCTGTGTCATCAACAGCTCCTCCTACAAGTCATCGACAGCCCCTCCCGTTGTGGAAAGCTACCTCGGTCTGTTTAAATTAAAAGGGTTCCGCCAATATGAGTACCCTACGAGGCTGAAAATTGGGCGCCTAGGATCAACTCGCCTTTCCATCTCTGTGTGTATAAACCCTCGCAGCTTGCCAGCAAATCGGCCCAACATTTGCGGAAAATCTGGCAGTGTAAAAGGGGCTAGAGAGTGATTTACAGACAGAGACAGCAAACTAGCATAGTGACATGGCCAGACACAAGTACGACGCTGAATATTTTAAACTGTGGGACCTATAACTAATGACTAAGGAGAAAGCTGGACCTCGAGGCTGGACCAGTTGGGAACTGCTGCCATTAAAGATGATTTTTGTCTATATAGCCAACTCGATGGCACAGACACATACACAGCCTCCCTGATGTAGAAGTTTGAATTTGAATGTCTGAAAAAAACAAACTCAAAATCCAAATCTTGTCCTCTTGAGTTAATCCTGAATGGCCACACCAAAAGAGCACATTATTCAATGGACCATTTACCTAAAGCAGTAAAGATAACTGTAATTTGGAGTGACATCAACACATCTGTTCACGTAGAGCTTTGTGGAACCAAATCTTGTCAAATGCAGGTCTGTGGTCTCGGGGATCCTTAGCACTAGGCCTAATTGTCAATTGTTAGAAGAGGATTATAAGGTTTCTGAGGAAGGCTCTTACATGTTTAGATGCAGGATTAACTCGGCTGAGTAATACTATATGTGAAGTAATTGTTAAGAGGATGCTAATAGCCAGTTTGCACAGGATAAAATGTTTCCAAAATTACAGCGATGGAATTGTCTGCCCATTAATGCTTCATAAGTACCTTAGGTTAAAAGTGATTTATAGCAGCAACAGTGCACCATCGCAGCAAAACATCTTGATTACTGTTTGAAAATGCAGAGCCACGAAAAACTTTGACTTTTACTCATATGGATCTGCATAGTGTGTAAAAATTTACTGACATGACTTTACACTGACTTGATTACATTTCTGACTCCTCCTGTGAAACTTATCTCAGTCTGAGTGAGGATTATGAGAGACAGTGTCACAAAGGGTGGAAAAATCTGTTGCAACTCTGCAGCTTCTCTAAGATCTACAGTGTGAACATGAATTAATAACAGATGAGGGTCAGCTGGGGAAGCTTTTAATGTTCTTAGATGCTCAAATGGCCTTTAACAGACTATACACTGATCAGCCAAAACATTAAAATCACTGACAGGTGAAGTGAAAAACATCGATCATTTTGTTACAGTGCAATGTTCTGCAGGAAAACCTTTGGTCCTGGCATTCATGTGGATGGCCCTTTTTGAATTCTACCCATCTAAACTTCATTATAGACCAGGTAACCCCCTTCATGGCAATGGCACTCCCCGATGGTAGTAGCCCCCCCAGCAAGGCAATGCACCATGTCACTCCTCAAAAACTGCTCAGGAATGGTCCAAGGAATGAGACAAAGACCTCAAGACACCGACCTAGCTTTCACATTCCCCAGATCCCAATTTGATTGAGCATCTGTGGGACAAACCGGTGCCCCGAAGGTCCTTTGTCCAGGCCTTGATGGGTCAGAGCCAAATCCGATCTGGATGTGGCATCTGCCCTGTCGAGGCATGGAGACAGGACCCCTGGGGGTGTCCTGTGTTGTCTGGCACCAAGGCGTTGTCGACAGATCCTTTGAGTCCTTTAGGTTGGGAGGTAAGGTACCAGCATGCCCAATGGATGTTCGATCGGATAGGGATCTGGGGAATTTGGAGGCCAGGTTGACACCGTGACCTCCTACTCACGTCCGCCAGGCCATTCCTTTTGTGGTGTGGCGTGGTGCATTGTCCTGCTGGGGGGCACTTCCATCAGGGAGTGCTGTTGCCATGAGGGGGTGTATTGGTCTGTAATGATATTTGGGAGGGTGGCATCCACATGAATGCCAGGACCCAAGGTTTTCTAGAAGAACATTGCCCTGTAACAAAATGATCAATGTTTTTCTCTTCACCAGTCAGTGGTTTTAATGTTTTGGCCGATCAGTGTATATGAACAGCGGTTTGCAATTGCTCTGGACGACAAAATGATTTCAAAGAACGGACTGTTGCAAATTTGCTTGATTGGGTGACACAAGAGAGAACCTTTAGACGAAGATATGCACTCACAAAAACATCAGTAAACACAAATATCAGGGGAGTTATTCTGCCTTGTGCACACGTGTGCCTGTGTTGCTGCTCCTCTCACCAGAACTTGATTTCCCCACTGAGCAATGCAGCATTCTAAAGCACCATATATGAATGTGTTTGTGTGTGTTCCTGCATCCCCACCTGTGGAGAGCAGAGATGAGAAAACTGGGAGCATTAGCTGTCTCGCTCTACCCCCCTCCCCCCTCCCTGTATCTTTTATACTCCCCCTAGACACCCACCAGGCAAACTTATATTGATTCTTAAACCAATTACTGATGTCTCTCCCTGTCTCATACACATGCTACCCAATCTTTGTATATTTTGTGTCTGCTCAGTTCTTACTGTTTGTGTCTTATTGCCTGCTCTCTCTCTCAGGCAAACCAGAGTCCTATGCAGACTATTTCAGCCTGAATGGAACCACGGCGGAGCTCCTGCTACTGAAGCCCATCGATAGAGAACTCTACCGCAGATTTGATCTGGTTATCAAGGTGAGAAACACTGGAACCGCAAACAGGGGAGGTGTAACTTGATTTTCTCCCAGCATGTGTCTTATAGGAACGGCCCCCCTCCGTTCTCAATGTGCAGTTTTGTTGTTTTTTTCTCTCAGCATTTAACCCCATATATCCATCAAGCTGTTGATCAACAAATCTGTAATCTTAAATAAAGACTAACAGTTCCTCCTTAATTTATTTATTTGGCACTTTCCCTGAACATATTAAGTGCCAGTAATTGTGAAGCATTTGAACCATCCCATGCTGTGTGGAGGTGTTTTTGTCTCAATTAGGCTGGTAATAGAATTACACCACCAAGCATACATCAGGTACTGCTCTGCTGAAATTGAAAGTGCAATTTTTCCTCTATAGGGTGTTTTTGCTGTAGTTAAAGGTGTGTGTGAATCTGTGTATATCAGTGTACAGATATCGTGTTTATAAAATGACACCGCATTCAGTGTACTTTTGGGATGGTAAAGCTGTTTGATCCCACTTAAGCTAATGAATGAAGGATAGGAGCTGGAGGAGACGTGAGGGAGCAAAACAGCAACAAGAATGAGCTGTAAATGACAATGGCAAACAAAAAAGATGCGTAGGATAAACAAGCAGAAAAACACACTATCACACACACAGGCAATTAATCAGTAGACATACAGAAAAACACACACAGGTATATTGGAAATCAAAAGCCCTATTTGTGCAGAACTAGTATGACCTGGACACCTTTAGTAACGTAATAATTACAGAGGTTGTTCGTCATCTTAATCCAATAGGAAATCTGCCATGTCTCTAATTTGTCAACTTAATATTCCACTACAAATTACCTACTATATTTGGCAAACACAGAGGTCATGTGATAATATTAGTTCTGTGCGAATATGTATCTTGGTGATTCGGGTCATATATAGGTTTTTCTGCCTCTTCCTTGATCAAGAATTATGGATTCTGCACTGACAGTTATAAATGTTTTGACAACATTTTGGGTGCAGGATGCTCATCGCGCTACACAACATGGAGTTACAAATGACTGTGCACATCATATCTGGGAGATAATGTCAGTAAATTTAAATAAAATACAGACTTTGCTCATCCTGTGTGAATGTGCTGCACAAAACACAAATGTAGGAAAGTTAATTTCTGAATCAGGAGGTTCCCTGGTAACACTAGCACCGTGCAAGTAGGGCTAAACAGTTGTATAGACGTATTTTAGATTGGCATTTAATTCCTCCTGAAGCCCCATTCAGACAGGATTAACAGTCAGTCCAGTCGCCAGAAGAAAGTGCTGGCATTTAATGTTAATGCAAACTATGATACATGCGATACGATACGATACAATGCGATGCGATATGATGTACTTTGTTGTCCCTGGAGGGCAATTTGGCTTAGACTCAAGTATTGCTGCCTTACACAGGGTGCGGTTACATGATGGCTTCCCATTCAGAATGAAATAAATCTGAATGAAATCATTCGGAATTAAAGTTTTTCCAGGTAGTTTACATGGGAAATATTCATTCCGAATGAGGGTTTACGAGGGAGACCAGTTTAATCGCCTTTATTTGGATCCGCGTGTGGTTTACGTTTACCGGAAGAAAACACTGTAGTCCTCGTTCTGGATAACAAGATGCTTGACGACACCATTCTTAGTGCCTTTTTCGGGCTTGTTTTGCTTATATTCTTGAAGCAGCAGTACAACAACAACCTTGTTCTGCTAATGCTTCGTCTGTTGAGGAGGAGAAGGAAGGTAGAAGGTCGAAGAAGGGAGATAGAAGACCGTACTTTGGCGAATGGAAACCGGTTAGTGCATCAAGTCGTGCGCATGCTATATATGTCATCACGCCAGAAGGGCAAGGAAACGAGCATGCGCAGAAGGACCGGAATGAACTTAAAGAGGAATGAGTGTATACAAGTGCGAGAAATTCTTTCATTCAGAATTAGAAATGAATAGCTCCTTACATAGGAATGAAATTTCAATCGTATTGGCCATTTTAATTCCGAATTAGGTGTTTACAAGATCACTTTTAATAGGAATGAACTTTCATTCCGAATGAAAAGGGAATTAAACTGTCCAAGTAAACGCACTCAATGATAGTCTAGAAGACATGAAGCATACACCATAAAAACACATACTACACATAACAGTATTGCACATCAGCCATTCATGTATGAACCCCTAACAACACAACCCCTACAGCATCAAGCTACATTATTTAAAATCTTAATTGATATACACCACGCATACATTAAATTTGTATTTGTATCATGTTACCGTTCCTAAAGTGATATAGACTATGAGCTGACTTTGTCATCAGGAAGTGGCGAGGACGGTGGATGGTGTGACACCTAGGTGAGAAAATTTTTTTTTTTTTTTTTTTTTTTTTTTTAGATTTTCCCATTTAGATTGAAAACCTCTTACACAAGAGAGACCTGGCCGAGGTAGCAGCCAATCAAAACACATTTAAAATGCAACAAATACAACATATAATACAAAGATCCACAATAAAACAACAACTATTCAAACACAGTGACCTCAAGAGAAAAACAAGCACATCTCTATCACCACATTCTTTAATGATGCCCTTAAATTCATCGATGGATGTGATTCTTTCTGAAGAGTGTTCCATGTCCAAGGTGCAGAGTAGGGAGAATGCAGTTTTCCCCAGATCTGTTAAAACCCAGGGTTCATTAAAAAGCAACCACTTGGAGGAGCGTAGCTGGTAACTACCAGAGCTGACACACCGAAGGGTGCAGAGGTGGACCGGGAGTTTGCCCAGTGTTTCTTTATAGATTAAAAATATACCAGTGCTGTTGTAGTGGATGGTCAATGATGTCCAACCCACCAAATCATAAAGAATGCAGTGATAAGTCAGGGTCTTTGCATTTGTAATAAAACCTAGAGATGCATGGTATACTACGAACACGACTACTACTTCTACTAATACACAGTAATCAATCACAGACAGAAAAGTAGCTTCCACAAGTTTTTTCTTAACACTGAATGTAAACCAAAATCGTTCGTAGAAAAAAACGTACAGTGCCAACATTTATTCTGGCGATTGGGTTGTAACATTACAAGGAGGGGTTGGGGGTTAAAATATCAGCTATGCTCCACAATAATTTAACTCATTGTTCCAGATGGCATTTTAGCCATCGGAAATTTACAGCATAGGGTCCGAATAGAGATGGACTTTCCACAAAAAGAGAAAGATAAATCCTCCCCTAGGGGGCGTGGTAGAGTTTAAGGGGAGATGTGAGACAAAGCTGCTGTGTGAGGTGATTTAATTTATACAGTAACTAAGTCTAATCTTTAAACATAAAAAAACACATTGATATGATTCAGTGTCAGTTACACCACCGTAGATATCATTATCTCAGATGTCCATTGTGAATAAACGTCCACAAATCTACTTAGCAGTCAGAGAATAAAGACGCTTCAGAACTTGCCTGAGAATCTTTTCATTGTAGTATGAAAGTAATCCAGTGATAGTTGCCTGCACACCCATGGGTGCACTGCAGATAGAACTGCTAATGGGTGCCTCAGCATACATTTAATGGTGCCAGTTTGCTAAAGGTAAACAAATATAAGCTGGGAGAGAAGGTGCTTTACTGAGAATACCTGCCTACCTGTAGCTGACATTGTATTATAACAACCCATTTGATGATCTGAGTCAAAGTCACATTTCACACTGCACTGATGATAAAAAAAAATAGTGGAAGGACAAGCAGCTCTTCATGTGGAAACTACTCAGAGATCCACTTTAAAAAAACAAGGACATTGATCTGGAGGGGTTTTAAATTACAGCAGGACCAGCGTGTTCACAGCAAAACAGGAGGTAATTGTGGCTTTAATTACTTCAGGGGTCGGGGTTGCAAACATATATGTAGTCATGCTCGGGACAGGATTAAAATCACTGACCAGTGCTGGCAATTTTAAAATCACCCAACCTTCACCAGAGAAATAAATCCAGTCTGAATGGGGCTTTAATGTGCTTTGAGGTAAAAGCAGCTCTACACACAATTCTTTTGTTTATCCCATCTGTGTAATTCACAAACAATAAAAAAGGCAAATAGAAACCCAAGATTTGCCGTTTGTCTCTAATAAAATTTGCTTTCTTAAAGGAAATTGTCTCAACTATCTTATTGCGTATTTATTATGTGGAGTGCTGTCATTAAACACCACTTCAGCAGCAGGAGTAGCCGGTGGAGCACAGAGGGTGAAGCATCACAGCCAAAATGAACAATAATTTTCCTCTCCCTCCTTTAGGCAGAGCAGGACAATGGCCACCCCTTGCCGGCGTTTGCCAACCTCCAAATCGAAGTTCTGGATGAAAACAACCAGGCACCCTACTTCCTGGAGACCGGTTACCATGGCTACGTCAGTGAGGCATCACCAGTGGGAACCACCATAGCGACCACTGCCAGCCTGTCTGCACCGCTGGCCATCGTGGCTCTGGATAACGATGTGGAGGAGGTGAGGATAAAAGCATACAGAGCTGTCAGTGACTAAAGGCGTTCTAAGCAGATTAGCACTCGTGTTCTGACAAATCAAATTAGCACAGTTAATAGTCAGAGAAATGTTATTGTGAATACAGAGAAGAATGCAGAATTTCCTTTTTGCAGAATGGTATTTAACATTGTTTATGGCTCTAATATATTAATATACATGAAGCAGAAAGCCACTGTGCAAATAAATAGATTGAATTTGAGTCTTTATGAACCCTTATTTAGATTTTAATTCTATGTGTGTACTGTGCTGTAGCCCTATACCTCTGAGGAGTCACTTAAATGATCTGTTGCATCTACTTCCTTTGTAGCTGGCAGCCAATCAGACGCCTGTAGGTATCCGCTGAGGTCGTTCACTCTACCTTTACCTCCTTTTGCTGAGTTCTCTGAACCTTTCGCTGGTTGATGGCTCTTTCATGACAAAAACTAGTATTTATAGATTTGCTCTAAATTCCAGTGCCTGTTGCCCAAAGTTTCACAGCAACTTGTTAATAATTTATTTTGCATGTAAGACGTGCCATTTAACAATTTGCCAGATGGAAATTAACCGTTTGCTAAGCCCCCTAGATACTGCCGTTATGCCTGTCGAGCTCTCCGTTCCTGCTTGGCACATATGCTGTTGATAGTAAAAATGCTGGCAGATTTACTCCTCAAAAAAGTCTTAATTCTTTTTTAAACAGTGATTTTGGAATGATGCAAATAAAAGCTTCTTATTTATAGTCGGCAGCTTGTTGAGTTTACCAGCTATGATAACAACTCTAGCAGGCTGTTAGCTGAGCATGCTAACATTTGCAGTTGGTGTTAGAGCAAACCATTGCCTGAGGGTTGACATGACAGCTACCTTAAAATAAAGCCAAAACATCTCAATCACCCCCTGGTGGCTGGCTGCAGTTTAGATTATAAGCCCCGCCCCCTCCACGTAAGTGGATGGAACATAGGCCAAAAAGTAAATATCTTTTTTTTTTTTTTTTTTTTTCCCAAAGATAGTTTCCGTTATTTCAGGGAGTTCTTATCATGCTGATGTATGTTCTAAGCCTGTTTCCACAAAACACTTTCAGTATGGTACCTTTGGAACCAAGGTAACCCTTCAGACATGGTACCTAGACCCTAGCGTTTCCACTGCAAACTGTACTCTTAAATGTGGGCAGGGTTGTTGTCAGGCTGTAGTGAGAGTCGCTCTGCATGGGATATGTAAAAATAGCAGGTCTGTGAATTTAGTCCTTCTCAGGCAAACTCAGGTGTTTAGTGTTGCTGGAGCCCACAGGAACAACGATCCACGATGCTTTTTTTTCTCCATGTGAGGATTAGAATATATGCTGTTCACATAATCAGGTCGAAATTAATATATATAAATGCTTGATGATCCACTCATTACTCAAAGTATATGTCATATAAAAACTAATGAAGTTGTCACAGTGAAATTTAAGGTGTGCTGCCGGCAGTCGACCCAGTGAATTAAAATATTTTTAACGCTGACTCATTAAAACAAGTGAGTAAAAGTACAGAAGACATCATCATTATTCATGAAATTGGAAATAAAAAGTCTTAAAAAATAGATTGGATCAAACTGTTGCACATGTAAAATAAATAGAGTATTGCACTAATAAGAAGTGTTGTTTTAATTTATTAGTCTGATGGCCCACGGGTGAAAACTGTTTTTAGTCTATTTGGGCATGGCTTTAAGCTCCTGTCAGAAGGCAAGAGACAATTTGTGACCTGGGTGGGAAAAGTGGTAGGAAGTGGAGACGCAAAACTCACCTTTATGTACAGTCATTGGAGCAGACAAACATATCATTTCATCCATTCCTTCCACTTTTGCTCTTAAGATGTGAAGTATCACTCCTACTACAGCACCATGCCCAACACCTCAACATGTACCATGCCTTGTTATGACTGCTAAGTGATGACTGGACCCACCGGCTGCGTTTGCTGTGCGGAGCGGTGCAGCTCCGCCGGAAGACATCTCGGTGCACTGCCATGATTAATATCTCCTCGTCCATGGTGTCAACAGGGTGAAATGACTTCTGAAAACCTCTGACCTGTTGACTTCAGGCCTGCCTCTGCCCGTTATGTAGTTTTCAAGGTGTAGTGCAGGGAAATATGATCCGCCGTGAACACTGTGAATTTTATTTTGAAAATTAACCGGATGTTTTATAGTGTTTCTGTGCACGACTTCCTGCCCCGCACGATCTGCTCTGTGCTGAATTGATGCGTTGTGCTCAGGCGTCTGGCAAAAATAGAAGTCCTGCGTATCTGTTCCGGAGGGCTCCGGAGTGCCGGAGCTGAGACAGAGCCAGAACGCAGCACAGCCGCAGCCGGTGGAAACACACACATTGACTAGAATTGAATCCTATGGGCTCCACTGCCGTGCCGGAGCGGAGACGCAACCAACACGCATCTGGTGGAAATAGGCCGTTAGTCGTCATGGGTTGTCTAGCTGCCTGATCAGTGCAACTCAGCAGAGACAAGAGGAAAGCGAGATGGCTCACTGGTTAGCTACTTTTATCAGTAGCTCCGGAATAAACTATGTGTCAGACTCACAATATTATTGATGAAGACTGTTCAAAATACTGATGAGGTATATGATTTGAGTATGAACAGAAGAGACAGGAAGTATAATGTTGGGTAAAGTGAGTCAACAAGGCAGGGCAGCTGTGGCTCAGGAGGTAGAGCGGGTGGTCCACTAGTCAGAAGATCAGTGATTCAGTCCACTGCTCCTCCAGACCGTCTGTCAAAGTATCCTTGGGCAAGATACTGAACCCAAAATTGCTTCCGATGGCTGTTCCATCTGTGTATGAGTGTCTGAATGGTTACTGAGTAGGAGATGACACCTTGTATGGTAGCCTCAGCCACCAGTGTGTAACTGTGTACTTGTATTTATTTACACTTCGGAAAATTAAGTTTAGAATCAACTATGAGCAGGTCATTTTCTTGCTGTGTACCTCTGGATGCAGTCTTAGAAACCTTAGAAAGTTCTGAAGCGTTTCCATTCTTGTATACTCATGCAGTGAGTTACACTGTGTGCTTCAAATTAAGCCTTGTTTTTTATTTTCCAAAATACTTTGTCGAGAAAAAAAAAGTTCAAGCTCATATTCATTACTTTATGCAGGTGCAGCCATCACCTTAGGTATTTACTGCAACTTAATCAAGCGCAAAACACAAAGAAGTCAGCAACTTCCTGCCACGGTACCGATCAGGCAGCTGGGACCGACAAGGGGCTTAGCCAACGGTTATTTGACACTTAGATTCTGCCACTTTGGAACTTTTCTAACCCCTTGTAATATAAACTGCAGATCTCAAGTGTGTAAACAGAAGTAAACACACCGGTTTCTGTCTCCAAACACAATTAAGTCACCATGTAAACACAAACAGCCGCACGGGGACAGTGTTTAAAGACGAGGTAATGTACATAAACCAAGGGCTGATCCTTTGACGTGTCAATTTCAACCTTTCCTTTTGTTTCACTGAGTCTCTACTTTGTGCCCTGCTTGCAGTGTGTGAAGTGCTCCGTCTAATTTCCCTGTAAAACCATTTCCCCTCTTAAATTGCCTCTCAGTGATAATGTAAGAATTTACAGTGCCGCAGCATTGTTATCGCCGATGCATTCCCAAGAGCTTAGTTTGTTTAAGATGTAGCATAGGCGTTTTGACAAAAACAAGCTTTGGTTCATTGCTTTCTAAAAGACCCCCACAGCAGGGAATGAGCTTAGTGGGGATAATGTGTGTGCCTCTGTGTGTTCCTGAGACTTTGTGTGTTTGTGGCAATTGATATACGTTGAGCTTTTTTAAATATTGCTAACCCCGGTCTTTCCTCCAGCATTAAGTACCAACAATGATGATTAGTCCTAATTGCTTTTATGTGCCGTCCATCACTTTTATTTATGTGTGTGCATACGGCTGTAAGTGTCTGTGTGTGCGTGTGTGTTTATTTATGACTCAATATCCACACTGGCTACATCGACAATATTATCAGCCCCCCTACCCTGCTGAGCCAGCCTTATCTGGAATGAGAGCTCACACACACACACACACACACACACACACACACACACACACACACACACACAAAGAGAGGAGGTGACTGTGTGGGTAATGTCAGAGGAGGACTCAGATGAGGATTGCCTCTCCATCACTGAGTGTAACACACACACACACACACACACACACGGAGCCCTCATAGGAGAATTTTTATGTCAAGAAAACCTTGGAGACGTTTTTCATTCACCTTCCCCTGTCTATGCACTTCTTTGCTCTCAGCTGTTATGCATATAGAAACATTTTCATTTGTTATGTTTATTCTGGTTTTCCTTTAATTTGTCAAATAAAATCATTTGTAATGGAGAGACAGAAACAGACATATCCTTGCCCTGTTATAATCCGTGTTACTTTTATCTCACCTACATAGACGTGCTCAGGTGTAAATGCACCAGATTTACGCCCTTGTGTCGTCTCTGTCGTCCTAAACGTCTTCCTTTCCTTCCCACAGACCAGAGACCCTCAGCTCCAGTTCTCATTGGACAGCTATTCTGATGTCTTCTCCGTGTCTGCCACTGGAATAAGAAGACATCTCACCCTGCTGCAGCCGCTGGACAGAGAGACGCAGGACTCTTACACATTCACGGTACTGTAGAGCCTTTTGTACTCATGTGCTTTACATACAGTATGTGAGAAAGAGAGAGATGAGCGTCTGAATGTATTTGAATAACTCACCTCAGATCAGAGACCTTTGATAAAACCGTAGTGGTAGTCTTGAGAAAAGGTTCTTATCTAGTGAAGAGGTGCAAAAAGGAGACAAAAAAAAGTGTGAAATAAAGAATGAGCCCAGAGGAAGAGAAGAAGACAGGAGGAGATGGAGGTAGATGGATAGGAAGGACCAGGGGGATGTGTAGGCGTAAGTTGATCCATGAAGTCAGTAATATTTTAAGTCTAAGGGGCGATTGATGCTGACCTGGCAGGACTTTAGAAAAGGTCACTTTTTAGGCAAACACTTTGTACATTCAGGGCTCCACAGTAACCGTTGTTAGCTTGTCATTGGCAACCAATTCACGGCCTCTGCATGCCATCAGCAGAAATAACTTTTAACACAAATACAGAAGGGACAGCAAACAGCAAAATGTTCAACCAAAAATAAATAAATTTTTAATATTTGTTGCATCAATGATATTTAAATATTACTGTTACAGTCAGAGGCAACATGGTGGTGCAATGGTTAGCATTATCACCTCACAGCAAGAGGGTTCCTGGTTCAAGCAGAGGGTGGGGGGAGCCCTTTTGTGTGGAGTTCGCGTGTTCTCCCAGTGTTAGTGTGGGTTTTCTCCGGCTTCCTCCCACAGTCCAAAGACATGCAAGTCAGGTTAATTGACCTTTCACTAAGCTCCGCCCCTTTGTGATGGTTCAACAAGCTGTCGGAGTAAGCATGGGGCCCACACTGTAACTAACTGCACTCCCTGAAGAAACATTATCATATTTTTGGAAAAATGAAACAGTGATTCCAGAGAGAAGCAGACAGAGGGGTCTACAGTTTGTGTTTGAAGGATATATCCAGGATGTCAAACTGACTCAGCAGCAACAACAGGTTAAAAAGACAAAGATAGTTAGAAGCTAAAGCTGAACTATAGGCTACAGATCACAGTGTAAAAGTGAACCAACACATCACTGCTGATCGCCACAGAAGACAATGAATAGAAAGGGAAACTTTCTTGATATTGAACCAGCTGTGTGGCATCTCAGTGTGTGCAGATGAACGGTGCCAGCACCTGGACTGCCACTGGCGGACAGGCAGGGATCTCCAGGAGAAGTCAAACAACATTCATCTGCGCACACTGTGATGACACACAGCTGGTTCAATGTCAGCAAAGTTTCCCTGCTTCCCTTCACTGGTTCCTGTACAACAGGGTCGGTCTTTGTTTCACTGTTATAATCATTAAAAAGCAAAAGCAGCATGTGTATACATTCAGTAGGCTATATCTTCAGTAGCTAGCTAGCTAACCCTACAATTTTCAGGGTTTGATTTTGGTTTTGGAACAGGGAAGAAACATATATCTTTTTCCAACCTCTCCAGGTAACGAGTATCATTAATACACGACGTGCCCCAGGCACAACATTTAGCTCCAAATCCACAAAAACAGCCTGAAAATGAAGGAAATCTGAAACGATTGCGTTAGAGTGAATGGAGCACAGCTGTGTTGTTGTCGGACCCTGGTCTGAGCCGGCCTGATGCTACAATGGTGAAGCAAGTTAAGCTGTTTGACTGTGGGTGGCGGAAATGTTCAACTAACCTGTCGACATCACAAACAAATGTGCAATTGATTCAACTCACACAGAACAATATGAATCTGAACAAACAGATAAGACCAGATAAATAATTTAACTAGATAAACCTGTACTGCAAATTTTGTTCAGACATTGTAATAAAGCTTTAGTATTTTAATAAATTGAAGGTGACTAAAAATGGCAAAGATATTTTTAGTTTTGGCAACCAAAAGCCAATGTCTTTCAAAAGACATTAACTTTCTATACATTTTCATTTGAGTAATGGTATATGAAGTTTCAGCAGCACAGAACCAGCAGCAGGCCGTATATGCAGGCAGGAGCAAGGTTATATTTTATACTTTATACCCCTCATTAATTTTCTGTACAGTATTATTTGAGTAGCCTTTAACGTTACATAAGGCAGGAGGGCAACTGTTGTGAGCGCTGCTGCTTTTGTGAGTTTGTTGGCAGTGGAACACCAGTAAAGCCACTGGGGACCAGCCATCTTATTTCATCTTTTACAAATGCTCCTACTGTACAGACGCCGTTGGCAGCTGCCTGTCAAGAAATGTTTGCCCTCCAAAATGAGAGCTCCTCTGAAAACAGGCTCAATGTATATATCGATCTTTTCAGTTTGTTTACCTATTTATTATATTAGTATTAATTTAAATGTATTCCTTTGTTAAAATATCGTCCTCTAGTTGAAAAAGTCCATACTTTTTTTTATTCCTTTTAGCTCTCCCCGAGCTGGTACTGCAGCTGCAGAAAAACGGGTCCTCATTTGACGCTCTAAAATCAAATCAAGGTCAGAGTAGGGGCATCAAGGCAGTTTGATGCGCCTCATAACGCTTTTGGTGTGTCTTCAGCCATTTAAAACAATAGGTGTAATTCAAAACCCGCGCGTCAGACGCTTTCAGTGTGTTTCCCATTTTCCCAGTAGGGAGGGCGAGCGGAGAGAAAATGCATGGGATGGCTGTGCTTGTGAAAGAGAGGAAACAGACTTAGTTTTAAGGGAGCGGGAGGTTACTGAGAAAATCAACAAGGGACATAGCTGGAGGGGAAACAGGAAGCACACAGAATGAAAGATATGGAAGAAAAGAGACATTGATGGGAAGATCTGTGCATTACACTTAACTGTATGCTCTTTCAAAAACGGGCAACGTTGACCTCCACTGCTGTTTGAATATGGATTTGATTTTACTGCCACCGTTAATTTATTTAGCATGACTAGCAGGGCTTTCATGAGTGATTGGCTAGTTTTCAGCATTCAGGCCAGTATCTGGCTCTTCCATTGCTCAGTGCATACATGAATGTAGAAAATAAGGCTTATTACAGAGGTTGCCGTCCCTCTGTGCTTACCTCTCTCCATCTTTGTTTCTGTCAGCCTCTCTTATGTTCCTTATGGTTGTGTTGTTCTGGTCCACTTTGCCCTTTCGAACTCTCTTACTCAGTGCTATCTAATTCAGCAGCTTCTTTACTGGTAGGACACAAAGAGTCTGCCTGCTGCCAAACAGTGTCTGCAGTGATGGACAGTACTTCTACTCACGTCTGAGATACTTGTATTTGACTTGAGTATTTCCATTATCTGCTACTTTATATTTCTACCCCACAACACATTAGAGGCAAATATTGTACTCCACTACATATAACTACATAAACAAGTTACTTTGTGGATGAAGGTTCATGATACAAAATATAATCAACAACTTAATGACAATGGTGTATTACTATAGGTTAGGATGAGGTAACAATTTGGGGGCAGTAATATAGGCCAAATCAGAGAGTTTGTTTCCAGTAAGGTACAAATTCCCTGCACCACTTACATTAAATGAACAGCACTGAGCAAATGCTGCCTCAACTGGTTAGTTGTAGCCACCTATAAAAGCACCACATATACAGAATCTTTCATTTAAAGTGTACGTTATCAGACAGCCTTTTGTGACACTGTTATCTCAAAGCCACCACACTCTATTGACAGAAACAGTGATTTTAGGAGGCAGAATACTGAAGTTGCTGGTCTACCGCTGCCTTGATTGGTTTAAAGTGTAAGGAAATGAAAAGGCAATATTCCAACCATAGCATACACTTAAACTGATTTGGATTTTTAGGTGGCAAACATCCATTTAGCTGTGGTCCCAGTCCACAGCAGTACATTGCTGAGCTTCCATGCCATTAAGATTTGGTTTATCAAAGATGCAAAGCAAAGCAATACAGTACATAAAATAAGTTCAGACAGCAGAAACATCAGATAGGTTGAGCTACAGTGTTTAACTAACATTATTAAGATATACTTTATTAATCGCTGAGTTGAAATTCGATTTTTTTCCCTCTGTTGTCATATATACACACAGGCCCAAAATACACACACGTGCACAAACAGGACCTATACATGCATTAAATAGGGGTTGGGGGTTGGGGGTTTGGTGCCTTCCTCAAGGGTATCTCGGCAGTGCTCAGGAGGCAGCTGCCAGTCCACACTCCATATTTGGTCTGGACAGGACCTTGACCCGACGACCCTCTGGTTCCCAACCCAAGTCCCTGTGGTCTGAGCTACTGCTGCCCCATTATATATCTTTATGTGATAGTTAGGGCTTCAAATGACAACAGAATTAAAGAAGTCTGCAGATTTAACATGTCTCAGGAATTAGAATCAATTGCCAGTTGTCTACCTGGAAGTTATTGTTGTTAATGCGACGTCACTGTGATGCTGTCCATGAAGTATCCAAGGTTTCCCCCAGAAAGATTGTCAGAACCAGTTGGCAGGTATATTCTGATGGGGCCAGCGATAGACTTTGTTTTGATTTTGATTGAATTAATGCATCCAACTTAAATTAGAATAAGTTTCTTTTATGTGTGAAAAGCATTCACTGGTCTCATATGCATTTGGAATATGGTTTTGCATAGGGCCCCCAGAAAGATATAAACAGCCCTGCTAGCTGGTGTGTCTACTGGACAAGAGGAGCATTTTGCCAAAGACAAAAACATGATGGAAAGATCCCATTGTAGATGAAGAGGAGCAAGTAATCTAGTAAGTAACGTTAGTAACACGATTTTAGCTGTTGCAGAGATTTACCTCCTCATAGTTAATGTAAGGTTATTGTCAGCTCACTTAATGTAAATGCAAGCGTCAGCTGCTAACTCAGTAGCATTAACTTTAATTGTACCATTAACTTCAAACAGTCTCCAGCCAACATTTGTATGTGGGGCCCATGTGGGTAGTAAATGGACTGTAAAATGGGCCCTATATGGGACTCCCCACGGGTTCCATATTGGCCCCATGACATTTGCCCATATGGGTGGGTTTACCCAGATAAGATGCCAATTTTGGACACGTACCCACTTTAAACCCAGGTAGCCCCAGCATGACCCATGTGGGACACACTTGGGCAAACCCACCCATGTAGGCGATTGGCATGGGGCCAATATGGAACACATGAACAATCCAATATAAGGCCCATTTTACAGCCCATTTACTACCTACATGAGCCCCACATACAAATGTTGGCTGGGTCTAATGCTAACTGGTAGTGCTAGCATTAATACAAGCAAGCTTACTTTATTGACTTAGGGTAAAGTCCCCCTTCTAGTTGTAGCTGTACCGTGGTGATTATATGGCCCCACTGTTACCAGCTGCAACATTAAAGTGATGAACACTTGAACGCATCACTGATACAATCCCATAATCCAATATACATTATTCTGAAGTGGGAAATTCTGCATCATGAGTACATTTGATGCAGTTATGTTTGTACTGTATTTTGAATGCAGGACATTTGCTTAAAACAGAATAGTTCTACACAGTGGAGTTGCTCCTTGTAAGTCTACCGCCCTCTGGGTATGCCTCACCATATGATGCTCAGTACAGCACTGATGTCTCATACAGCAGTCTGCTATCTGTCTGTAAGTTCAGCCTGGTCTTGCTGGCAGTAAGTGTTCACGTGTGTGGGAGTGCAGCATATTGTACGAGTTTATGCCTGCTTGTGTTTGCATGCAGCTATTTGGAAGTAAAAGACAGGAAAAGCAGAGGGCAGAGGTGTATTGATTGAAAGGCAGAGGTGTACAGTAATCATCATGAAAGCCTTGCAGGAGAAATTAAACTAGAGGAGGAGAGTGAGGGAGAGAGTGAGCTATGAGACATGGAGGATGATTTTCATTTTAAAGGAGTCAATCAGCTTCTTGGCAGATGAGCTCGCGGAGGAGATTGGTATCAGTGAGGAAGCTTCTGTCGCTTCTGTTGATGTGCACTTTGATATGCATCGTGGACATTTTGAAAGAACACATTTCATTTGTTTTTTACATACAGGATCGTGAATGTTAAAATGTTTGTGTGCTGAATGAAGGACAGAGAAGAACAACATCATGAGAACAGCCCCACTGGTGACATTAAACATGAACACAACACAAATATAATGCAACATGCAGAATTTTTTATTTCTCTTTTCATTCTAATTGGAGATGTGTAATATCAGCCAGCCCGCCCATCTTTACATGTTTGAGTTTTATCTCCTCGTTACTGACGCTTTGCAACATTTCAGGAATTGCCAGAATGCATAGTCGATGTTGCATTTTTTCTGTTTAAAAAACTTGAATTGGTGAATATGAATGAAGCAGATAATGACATGATTAGCTTGACATTTTGGGAAATGCACGTATTCACTGTGGCTGAGAGTTAAGGCTTTGACACACGCCTTTTTTGTGCGATCCATTCACACAGCATGAAATACTAAGAACTTTCACACGGAACGCAAACATTACACAGCAAGACAGCAGCATGATTTTTTTTTGGGAACAAATTTGATGTTTGTGACCTTTTTGTACAAGAAAAAAAGGCATCAAACAATCACATTGTAACTAAGGATGTCAATGGTTAATCGGTTAACCACAGAGAATATTTTTGACAGGTTCCACATGTCTGTCTATAGGTTAATTTTGCTGCTATTCAGTTTACTGCCCTAAGCACACCTGGGTCTGTTGTGAGCTAGCTAGCTAGCGGCGCACTCATTCAGCCATTACCGCAAGTAATACCCTTAAAACAGTGGTTCCCAGCTGGTGGGTTCAAGTCCAAAAATGGGTTGTGGGTCCATCCTGAGTAGACCGCAAGTGACTCAAGAATATGTTATGGTTGTATGAAACACATTTTATTTTTAAGTACGGTAAATATCTGCCACAGAGCTTTTATTTTGAAGTGCTGTTTTCTGCTGTTGAGTTAGTGATTAACCTACAGCTACTTGACAGAGACAGCAAACTAAGTCAACAACATGACCAAACACAAGTATGACACTGAATGTATCAAACTGTGTGGACCTTGAACTAATGACTAATGATAATTCTGGACCCGTGGCTGGACCAGTTGGACCAGTCCATGTTCCCGATCCAACAGTGTCACTGTGGAAACATTGTGCCCACTCTTCAGTCACCTCCAGCTCACCCCAGTGAGTGAGCAGCTCAATGCTGACCCCTAAAACCCCTTTAGCATTTTTGACTATGTTAACACTGTTAGCTGTGTTAGCACCACAAGTGGTGCTAACATAGTAAACAATGCTAAAAAGGGGTTTGCTGTTTAAAATAACGTGGTGTACTACCTAGGGTGACCTGTTTGGAGACCAGGTTGCTGACACCAAGACAGCATTACTAGCTGTATCCCTGAATGAGCGGTGCCGCTAGCTAGCTAACATTAGCTCCCACCACAAAAGGCAAAACAGTTACATCACATAAAAATTGAAATTTCACCACCACTAACTTTAAATGGATAGCGCTTAGACATGCAGTGCTACAGCTCAGTGAGTCAAGGGAAAGATGGACTAAAAGGAGTGGTCTTTTGTATTTCACTCTTTTTTTTTCCTGAAAAATTAAGCAGTTAATTACCAGTTAATAGGTGTTGGGCTTTTAAAAGCAAAATTAACAGAATCTGACATCCCCCATTATGACTATGAAAAAAAAAACATGGAGGCTTCATAGTCTGAAGCAAGATCTTTAACCTTGACAAAGGCATCAATACCAGCTCTCCTCCTTAGGTTTTTACCTTTCACAACACAAGCCCTGGACATAAACACTGCTAAATGTTTACCAGGGGGAACTTAAATTCACTCAGAGCATTTCACTTAAAGGAAACTTGATAAAACAGCTTACAGTAGCTGAGGCTACTCAACAGGTTACCTTAGACAGACTGACACATGCTGCTTTGGGTCAATAGGATCCTCGTAGTTGTTGGAAATTTGCACCCCTGCCGACGAATCTATTCACATTAAAACCTTTTACTGAATATGTGTTGAAGCTTTTGCAAATTCTCATCACTGCTGGTGTGAATAGTTTGATGCAAAATATATAGAGAAGACTATTTCACAATTTTGTGTTGTTTTTTCATCATGCCCCAGTGTGTAAAGGCATTTCAGATGAGAATATTGACTGATGGGGGTCGGATGACTCCCACAGAGGGAAGATATGGCCAAATTTGGTTATGTGAGGTTATGTGAGGTTGTATGAATAAAAGGAAAACAGTAGCTTAAGTGACAGGAAACCCCCTTTAATGTGTATTGGGAAGCTGTAGGTGTGTCAACTGATACTGCTTGTTTGTCAGACACTAAGAATTGTCATTATGTACTAATTCTTTTGGCTATTCTACATCGATTGCACTCTTAAGTTAGCGTGAAGACACATGGCAGGAAAATGAACCTGTCCCAAATTGTCAAACTATTCTTGTAAGAAATTACTTCGAAGAAACTTCACATCATGAAAGGTATTTTAGATTAAATTTAATGTACATTGACGTTATGATTAATTGGGCACAAATGTTTGTTCATGGCTCATGTTTTATACATATTCTAAGCAGACTTATTAAAGGCGGTAGGGAGCAGCAATCACTGAGAGGAAATTGGAAGGTGAAATTAAATATAAGGGAGAGACAGCCGGGACAGATTACTTCAGAGACTTTCAAGAGTTTTCAGCTGCACCCACAAACACATAAATAAACCCAAAACAGGGATTTAGATTGAAAAAAGAGAAAACTAAGAACAACTCTACCTCAAAAGAAACAAGGAAACAAACAGACGCTATCAAGATGTCAAGGACATATTGAGTACACAGTCCGCCCACCTCAGGTTTCTCAAAAGGTAGTTTTTTGTTGCTCGGCTGAGTGTAACATTTTGTCAAAGGAGGAACATTTTATTTCTTTGCTCTTGTCAAGAGAGATACAGTATACGTTATTTCTTTTCTCTCTTTGTGTCTCCCCAGCTTTCAGCATCAGACGGCGTCCAGCAGAGCATTCCAGTTACTGTGACAATAACAGTTTTGGATGCTAACGACAACACTCCGACTTTTGCTAATGCCTCTTATAATGTCAACCTGTTTACAGATATGATGCCTGAAGAAACTGTGTTACAGGTATGCACTGTCAAACACACACTATGTGTCAGTTCTAATGTGTGTGTAGTATATGCAGCATGCTTTATTAAAGGATTACACCTCACATGGATGCTTTTTTGTATTTGTTTTGTCTTCTCAGCTGGTAGCAGTCGACTCTGATGCAGGTCCCAACGGTCAAGTCACCTACCGGATCTTAGCTGGTGATCAGGGACATTTTCTTATTAACAGCAGGTAAATATATCATTTACATTGTACTTATATCGACATTTTTATCTTAATGGTTAGTAGTGGGAAATACACTTTCTTGGGAAAACTTAGACGAGATGATTGATGCCACTGTCATGTCTCTATGCTAAATATGAAGCTACAACCAGTTAGCTTAGCTTCAGAGATGCACTGTTCCACTTTCTCTCAGTTCCGATCCAATTTCAATACCTGAATTTGGACATCTGCGGACACCGATGCTGACACTGATACATCAAATTTGCATTGGATTGCAATTTAAAAGTATTCCAAGGCAATTTATTGGATGTCTAGGTTAAGTAGGCTTCACAAACAAACAAGTGCAGGAGTGCACATTGCTATGGCAACTCCTTTAATGATTTGGAAAAACTTAAAGAGTTCAATGGCAAATTGACAGCTCATTTATAGGGTTTTCAAAGTGAATATGTGAAATGAAAGTGCGAGAACTGTGTAGAGAAATAAACACCTACACTATCAAAAAAACATCATATTAGTCAAACACCACAAGCGTTGAGTGGTTGCTGTGGTTTTTCCATGCAGAGCGTTGGAATGAATCTTTATTGAGAGCACCACAAGTGGCCCTTACTGTTTGTTTAAAGAGGTGAAGGACCGTCACTGCGATAAAACAAATGGCAGGCTGTATTTGCCTGGTTGAAAGCCAGAAAACAGTCACTGTGAAAAGGTAGTAATGTGTTGTTTATGGGCCCTTGAGTCCCACTCTCCTCAGCCCACTGTGTTCTGGGCTTGGAGCAGCAACTTGACCACCATGCCGAAGACACTGGCAAGACCATCCTGATGAGGTGAGCTCAATATTCTGTTTCGCTCGCTGTAGCAGTCTGGACTTGGTGCCGCCCAAAAACTTTCCAGAAATTAAAATCCAATCGGGGTAAATCTGGGATCTGCAGCGTAGTTGGCAACGTAAGCAGCAAATCTAGCTAATTCTAATGTTAGTAAACACAGCAATAAGTGAAGTTACTGCAGATATAAAGTCAATAACAACAATTAATTAACAACAAGACTATACTTGTGGGGTTTCTCAGAGGAAAGGATGTTTTGGCCATTCTTCCAATGGATTTAGAAGGAGCTTAATTTATCCACTGGCTTTGTTGGTGATGAAGATGTTCCCCAGTGTTTTGTTACACTGATTGGCTGAAGGACTTTGTCCGTCAAGGCAAGTACTCCCACCCACTGACAGTGTTTGGGGCTGCACCAAGTCCAGAGCGATACAGAGACTGAAACACAATGTTGAGCTCATGTCATCAGCATGGTCTTACCAGGCTAAAAGACACTAGCATAGCTAACTAGTTTCTTTGCAGCCATCCCACCATGGCCGGGGGAACATTCTCTGTGCAGGTTTAAACTGTGATTGTAAAGCACAAAGCAAGCCATTCTTCATGAGTTGTGCTGAGTGACATTAAGGTCTTTTCGGATGGTAAAGCCCAGTTCAGACCAAAGTTTCGCAATGAGACAAAACCATTTTAGAACTTTGCAGAGAAAAGTTGCAGCAGTGTGAACTGGCCCATCTCAGCTCATCAAGTTGCCAGTGGCTAGTTTTAAGACATGATGCACCTCACCTGTTTCAACAGCCAATCAGCTTGAAGCGAAGTCAGCTAGCCAAGACAAACAAACTGTCAGCAGATGGCATGTTTGCTTACTGTGGCATCCTCCGAGTCCATCTCATTTACATCCCAGCAGTTATTGATTCGTATGTCGGTCTAGGTCGTCACGGTGTGTCGGTGTCAGTTAATGAGTATGTGCATGTGACAGCGAACCAACCATCTGTTTAATGGCCGCTGGTTATTTATTATGAATATGGTCCATCTGAGGCTCAGGTCATTTTATGTTCTTGCCATTTCATCACTACTAGAAATGAAACTGTAGGAAGTATTTTACAATTACTATCTTCATTCTTATTTTAAGAAGCTACAAATTATATTCAGCTACAAAATAAACCAAAAAAAAAAAAAAAATGGAAATCAGAAGTACAGAGAGTTGTTGCTATGGAGATGATACATGGTCTTGTCTAGTTGCATTGACGAAAGCGGTCAGAACTGGGCTTTAGCAACACTTCGCCTGCATACCCGCTTGGATCCGCTGGACACAGTGAGCTCCTCATGTGTGCAAAATGTCCAAAAAAAGTCCAAAAATACGCTCAGTGATTAATGCCAGGTGCTTTATATGTGGTAACCAACATGAGACTATGGAATCTCGAGCTGTACATGGACTGGTGACATCAGTCCGATATCCAATGAGTGAATTACGACATTATTGGAACCCTATACCGAAATTGAATCAGATCTGTCCCAATTATACTTAGCTTAGCATAAAGACTGAAAATGGGGTAAAGGACTATCGAAGCTCTGTCTGTAACTAAGAAAGTAAAACACCTACTAGCACATCTAATGCTCCTAGTATGCACGTAGCAGCAAGTCCATTGCCTTCTATTTCACAAGCACAGCAATTGACAGGGTTCTTATAGTCATTTAAAACCTGGAAAGTAATGGAGTTTTATAACATTGTTTTCCAGGCCTGGAAAAGTCATGGAATTTGTAAAATCCTTACAAGATTTTGTTGTGTGTAATGAGATATATTGTCACAGTAATCTTTTGTGGGTAACCTTCCACATAATATAACAGCAGATTTATTTTATATAGCTGCTCATGTAATGTAGCTCTAATATGTTGATGTGAGGTTTTGTTCAGCATCACGTACGTTACTTGATTTTCTAGCTGTGTTCCATCTCTCCCTCCATGTATGCCAGCTGCATTTTTTAGATGGAGTATTGTCTGTGTTATGTATTGTTAATGGTCATGGAAATTTTAGGATGGGTCCTTGAAAAGTCATGAAAACACTGGAGTGAGTGTTGGGCTCTGAGCCCTGCCAAACACTGATGACCTGCAGTCACTGGATGTATCCTGTATAGGCACTGATGGAAGTCTGCTGCTGCTGCTGCTGCTGCTGCTCTGCTAACACATTGCTTTCGCTTCACAGGCTGTGTAGACATTATGCAGTGTGAATGAAAGTGTCCATAATCGTGTAATACCAAATGAACTGTTTTCACAGTACTGGGGTCATTACCGTGGCACCAGGTGTGGAGCTCAGTGTTGGGCGGAGCTACGCGCTGACTGTGGAAGCCATGGACAATGGGCCCGTACCTCAGAGACGGTAAGAGTGTCTCCCTGTCTGCTTCATCAGTCTTTTCCTCTGTCTGTCGGGAGCTGAGGCTTGAAAGGTCATCAGATTTCCTGAGCTTTCACACTCATTGTCAGACACTCCACACAGGCACTCTCCGACTTTTCGTGCCATTCTCCCCATCTGCTCTTCCTTTGCAGGTGAGCCATTTTCATTTTTAGAAATATATCATGAATTAGTTTTATATTGGAAAATGGCAAGAAAAGGAGTTTAAAATTGATAGTGTAAGCATGAGAAGGAAAGAAGTAAAGCGAAACACAAAATGAAAGGTAATGAAAGGGTGCTTCACTGCTAGTTACCCTCTTCTTGAGAAACGGAAAGAAAATTACACCGTCTGCATTTCAGAGAAGGGACAATTTCAGCAAATGCAGGCACACATGGCGTCTAGAATAAATGCCACAGACGGTAACAAAAACAAAATGTAATACACTCTGGCCCTGTCACAATCGAAAGCACAAGGACTGACTTGATAAGGTGACAGTTTTTTTTATTTCTGCTCTCCCCTGCCTCCTGTTTCCCGTCTCCTGCCCCTCATCTCTCCTTCATGGATTAAATCAATAAGGAGCCATAACTTTCAGCAACTCACAAACTCAGGCAATTCCCAACTTGGGTTATTTCATGGAAAATGCAGCTGCTCCCAATATTTTTTAACTCTGTGTGTATTGATTAGGTAGCTAAAGTCTGGCAGAGAGCTGTTAAATTGTGAAATTTTAGTTTTAGCAATTACCGTGCAATATCTGAGAAGAGAAGCAAATCCAGCCATCGAACCGCTCACCCACTGGAACATGGTCAATCTACATCGCTCTGTAGCAGCTGCAGTGGCACAGAGTTTGATTCCTTTAGTGTTTTTCACTGCACCATGACTGACTCAGGGAACATCAGAGAACAGGGCCGTGTGCTTTTGCAGGTTGCAAAAAAAAACATGCACATCGTCTCTCCTTTTCATTTTCTTGTCTTCTTGTCTTCTTTTATTTCATCTAATACAGAAACACCATAAGGAAAACTCTAAAGAAAAAAAAAAAAAAAAAAAAAAAAAAAAAAAAAACATATGAGAAATTGGCATCAATGAAAACAAAAGCCATACAACCGGAGCTCCTGCTCCAGCGTGAGCAACACCCTGTTGTTTGCTGATACTCCACACACACTTGGGTGTAGCGCTTTGTGTTTTGCACTTTGGAATATCTCAACAAAAGGATGAATTAAGACTGCAGTGTCCTTGCAGAGAGGACAAACAAGCCAAGTTCCTTGCTCTTCAAACACAAAGCAGAGAACAGAGGCAACACTTAGTTACAGACACACGGGGACGTTTAATAAAAAAAAAATTGTTAGAGGAAAAGGCACAGTAAAATACTGAGGCGACGGTCACTCATTAGGTTGGCTGGTGTGAGAGGCAGTTAGTTTTATAGGTTCACGGAGGCTGAGCCGATCAGTGGGGAATGTTCAGGAAGTCACTGAATAGTCAGATGTTTAATTTTAGCTGTCAGCGGCCAACAGTGCAGATTTCTGTTCATCAGTCTCCTGATGAAAATGTAATCAAGTTTAATCAACTCAACTGGCACCTGGTCAAATGTAGGAATGTAGGACAGCAGAATGAACATTTTGCATGTGACGGTTGGTCCGTCAGCGGTTACCACCCCTCTGAGCATTATAGAGCTCCACACTAAACCCCCTTACTGCTCTGAAATGGGGCTGGGCAATTGATAGATGGCACTGATTAACCACGGTGGCTGTGGCTCAGAGGTAGAGTGGGTCATTGCCCAATTTTAGGTTCGATCCCCAGCTCCTCCTTGGGCAAAATACTGAACCCCAAATTGCTCCCAATGGCTGTTCCATTAGAGTATGAGTGCATGTGAATGATTACTGAGTAGCAGGTGGCATCTTGTATGTTAGCCTCGGCCACCAGTGTGTGACTGTGTGTGTGAATGGGTGAATGTGACATGTAGGGTTGGAAACGAATAACCGATACGACCGGATATCCGGTTTGACAAGCGTGAGATACGGCTGCGTCGGTAGCAGCCTCCTCAATCGATACGAATCAGCCATGAATACTTAGATGAATCGATTGTAGAGTCATGGATCGGGTATCGCGAGACTAGCAATCGGTTGACTGGCTTTAACAGTTTGCATCTCTAAAACAACGCGAGAGCCGGCAGCATGCTCCGTAGCAGGCATTACTGACAACGATAATGGATGTAAACATCAGCGCCAGCTTGACCGGTGGAGCTGAGGAACAGAAACTAATGCTGGTTGGATAAACCAGGGAGCAGCCAAGCCGCAGCAGAAACTAAAGGCGAATCCTGCCGGTTGTGGGTTGAACGAGGGTCACAGACAGACAGAAATACGTATTCCTGTCAAATAACGTTACGGCGGCCATAGTGCTCCGCCGCACAAGATAAAGGCTTACCGGTGACCGAGAAGCCCGGCTCCAGGTCCAAGAAGTCTTCGTCGGTGTCATGACTGCCCAAAAATACCTGAACAGCCGAGCCCTGGCAGCACACAGGTATGTGACGTGTCAGAGGAGAAACGAGCTGTTCACATTTCCACAAACCTCACCGCACTTTAGGGACTGTTCTTTACTTGTCAGGGGAGGAGGGTGGCTGGTTGATTTTTATTTTATTTATTTATTTTATTTTGATCCCCCCTATGTTAATCACTTATTGATGCTGTTTTTGAAGTATGAATAAGTCAATAAGTAATTTATTCCATTGAAATATCATTGATGTATTATAGAAAATTGATTTATCTTTTTATAAATGACAAACACAGAGTGTAGCAAACACAGAGAAATAGTCTGACATGCTGTCAGTGATAAGCTGCTAGTCATCACAGTCCATGATATCAACTAATAACAGGAAATGTCAGATTCTGCCCCTACATTGCATGTTATTATTTTATTCTGCTTTATGTTTATATTGTACAGCATTATGATAAACTTTATTCCAGACTCAAGTCCATATAAGATACATACAAAAACACAGACAATGTGTGATTTTGTTGTTGTTTGTCTTTTTATTTTATTTTTGCCAGTGCCATACAGCAACAATGCTTGGGGATGTGTCTATTACAAATTTGAAAATACTGTAAGAATGTCACTTTTATAGAATTGGCTTCTTTATTTTATAATATATGATTAATGTCTACATCAACAAATGTTAACTATAGAATCGTATCAAACCGTATTGAATCATAACGTTCCTACACTGTATCGAATCGTAATCGTATCGAATCATATCGTTCCTACACTATATCGAATCGTATCGAATTGTTCTGTATTAAAAATATATCGTTTTTGAATCGTATCGTAACCCGTAATCTAGATACGTATCGAATCGTCTATCACAGAGAGATTCCCAACCCTAGTGACATGTAGTGTAAAAGTGCTTTGAGTGGTCAGAAGACCAGAAAAACACAGTCCATTTACCATTTACCGTATTTGCGGTTAAGATTTTGGCTGCCAGCGATTATGAAAACAAAGTGATAGCGATGAAATGATTATTGTGCCTCATACTGTTTTGCAATGATGTTCTTGTTTTGTCTTGTGTCGTAAATTGAGCGCACCCTTTCCTTACAGAGGCGTGCTCGGGGTTGCAGACTTGGAGCTTCTCGTTCTTAAGACCCTCTTAGCAACTTTGCTTTCAATAAGTGATTAGCAACAAATTAAGTAATGTATTCCTTATTTTGTAATTAATTCCCGTGCATGCTGCTCCTCTAGCACCGTTTTTATATCTATATATTATATATTAAGCTATTAAAAATTAAAAAGACAAGTCTTTTTTTAAAGTTCAATAAATGCGTGGTCTTTCCAAAGTCAATGAGTAATTGTGATTTCATATTGTCCGAAATGATCATGATCAGGATTTTTGCCATAATTAAACAGCCCTACTCTGAGATCAGTGTTTATTTTGACAGCTATTTTAGTTGACTAAAACTCAAAACCTTTATTCTGTGAAAATTCATGTCCATTTAGTCAACAGTTCTCTATTTATCATCTCAAAAACTTTGACGCCACAAGTAACTAATCTGAGACAACTAGGTTAATTGTAAACTCTGACTTATTGATCTCACTGTTCAAAAGCATAGAAAAAACTTAATTAAAGCCCAAATTCTTTCTTAAACTGCAACAGGTTAGTCTGGGGGTTCAAACTCATGTCTCACAGAGTTGGTGATTAAAACTAAACTTTTATCTGTGTCAGAGAAATCTGATCTGGGTTCAGATTGTTGAAATGCAGCACAGTAATCACAGATAACTGAGCCTCCTACCTGCCTGTTAAGCAGCATCAGCCCATAAACCTTCTTGAGACAATCCGGACTGAGTGGAGTTTGCCGGCCAGTGGCTGCTTGCTCCGTTGCCATTCAGTGACTAAAGACAGAGCTATGAAGTCTGGCGGGCGGTGGCTGCTTGCTCCGCTGCCATTCAGTGACTAAAGGCAGAGCTATGAACTCTGCCGGCCGGTGGCTGCTTGCTCCGCTGCCATTCAGTGACTAAAGGCAGAGCTCTGAAGTCTGGCGGCAAGTGGCTGCTTGCTCTGCTGCCATTCAGTGACTAAAGGCAGAGCTGCTAACAGCCACCGCTGCAACTAACAAACTCCACAAATCCATTCAGCAGCTCCATCATCCACAGTCAGACACACATGGCTGATTGTCTACTGCTGAATTACAGTTTACAACTTATACCAATGGCTGACGCTGCCCCACTGTGAGTGTTTTTGCTGATTAGTGACACATCCTGGTGCAGACTATATACTGGAGTTTGCCAGCCTGTCACTCATTCGGCATTTGAAGTTAATAACAAGCTCAGCCGTTCTTGGCTTTCAATGTCTGATAGCTAACATTTTCGTCACGTCTTGTCTCGTCAACAAAATGATGCATAGATTTCGTTTTAGTTTATATTGTCAAGATCTATCTTTAGCTCGTCATTGTCTCGTTTTTGACATGGAAAAATGGTTGTTGATGAAAAATTTTCGTAAAAGTTT